TTGGGAACCCTTAAGTAAGGAGGAACTAACTCTCCCCTCTGTCTCTATATGGGCAAAACATCCTGGCCTCTTTCTTTGTAGTGCCTTTTCTCCCCACTCTTCTGCTTTATTGGTTCTATATCTTCCTTGTGTTTCTTCCCTTTCCTTCTCTACAGTACTTAATACTCATCCTCTAAAGTGGTTGTATTTCAGTTCTGTTTACATAGATTTAGTGTCTCTGCTAAAAGTTGCATGGCAAAAAAGTGAGTAGCTACTGTTTGCCATTTGCTGTTTGTGTCGCATGGCTCTAAGATTAGTTTGTCATCGTTTGTTACTGGGCATCCATAGAGAAGTTCTACAGACAGTAGGAAGTGCTTGTACTGGAAATAACTTTTCAACCTTTTTCTTGAGTATTTAGGTTACTGTATCTATTCACGGATTGTCTTATTGAAGAACAATTTCTTGTTAGAACATCCTTTTTGTAAATTTAATTTTTTTCCAAGTTATATGTGTGCATGGCTTATATAGTTAAATTCCATGGTGGCCCCGTGCTTAGGACTTGGAGCTTTCACTGCCCAGGGCGCAGGTTCAATCCCTGGTTCAGGAACTAAGATTCCATAAGCCGCATGGCGTGGCCGAAAAAAAAAAAGGCAAATAGTTTGACAGATCTTATAACACTTATTATAACATTAACATATAACATATTAATTCCATTTTTGTTCTCTAGAGACACTTTTCAACTATTTGTTTGTTTCTTTTGGTATTCGTTGGTGTATGCTAAATAAATAACATTTGTATTTCTGTTTCTTGATTTCTAGGACATCTCTATGTCCATAAAATCTTTTGACTTCTTTTTATGGACTTGGATGCTCTAGGTCTCATGTATTACTGCTCAGTTTCCCTCTTTCCCACTTCCCCTCCCTTTAACCTCCCAGTATAGTTTGCTCAAAATTTTTGTTTAAATGGATATTCAAAGTTTATGTTAGTAAGATTATGTAAATATTTACAGCTGAGCAAGGAGTGTAATATAACAATTTTTGTCCTGTACACCTTTTTTGTATTGTTTGGAGTTAATAATTTTTGTTGCTGTTATTGGCTTGGTTTTCCATCTACCTATTACTTACTGGCTCAGCAGTAAAGAAGTCACCTGCCAATGCAGGAGCCATGGGTTTGATCCCTGGGTTAGGAAGATCCCCTGGAGAAGGAAATGGCAACCCACTCCAGTGTTCTTATCTGGGAAATCCCATGGACAGAGGAGTCTGGCAGGCTAAAGTCCATGAGGTGGCAAAAGAGTTGGACACAACTTAACAACTTGGTGACTAAATGACAACAAATTACTTGTTTATGCTCAGATTATCCATCAGAAATGTCAATCTCCTCTCCTGTGTAATATCCATCTCTTCTAGCATAAACTGGTTGCTCTTTGTGTCTGCTCACAGCTGTAGTCCTGGAATCTTTATCATTATTCCTGGAGTTTCTCTTTACTTCCTTTCTATATTGAACTGTAAATTCTGGATCCCATATCTCTCTTGCCAACTTTCACATCTTCAATTATGATAGTTCTCTTTACCTTGATACTGGAACATCTTGTAAACTCATTCCTTCATGTAGATTGTTGTCTTTGATGTCTTCTTTTTGTTCGTTTTATAAGTAGTAATTACTAGTGATAGCTAGGATCTTAGACTGTTAAATGTATGAGGGGCTTTTGAGCTTACCCAACCCTCCAGTTCTAACCCTCCAGCTTCCTGGCATCTGGAAACCCTATAGATTATTTGGGGGTCCTCCCCACCCTTCTGTCTGAAATCTGACTTCCCTTTTTGTCTCTCCAGTACACTAGCAATACGGGATTTGGAATCAGATCATCTTTGATGTCAAACCCCATTTTGTCCCTTAGCTGTGTAATCTTCATCAGGTTTCTTAATCTTGTGAAGACTCTTTTTCCTTATCAACTATATGGAGATAATAAAACCCACCTTGCAAAAAGGTAAGAATTGGAACTGATGCAGATGAAACTGCTTATTCAAGGCTTGGCACAGTGGAGACCCTAAGACAGTTGTGGCTCTTGTTCTTGTGGGATCCTAGTTCCCAAACCAGGGATCCAACTTGCAACTCCTGCATTGGAAGCATGGAGTCTTAATCATTGGACAACCAGGAAAGTCCCTTAGCCTGTATTTTTGCAAATAAGAAAGAGCCACGTAATTCAAAACACTGGATCTATACCAGTCAAACATTGATGATGCAGGAAATGGTTCTTCATTTCAGGACCACATACAGTAATCTCATTAAGTGATCTTAGATAATTGAGGTAACTTACATATGTGCTTTTAAAGTTGTATTAGTTATAAAAGTATTTGTTAAATTAATCCTATTTAACAGTTGTAATCCTACTAAAAAGGAAAAAAAGTTAATTTGTCAGAGGTATAGCAGAAAATCTCCCCATAGCTATATACTTTTATATAGGTGTATTTTAAGTGATGTCACTGGTTCTGTTTGTTCCACTGACTGTTTGTATAAATCTTTCCATGTGTTGATGCCTGACACACACTTATTCTGTAAACCAGGTTACTCCTTCTGAAAAAACATGGATTTTCAGTTTTTTTGTTATTGTAAAAAAAAAAATTGTCTTTTTATTAAAGTTATTTCTTAAGATCTAGTTCTCAAAAAAAAAATTAAAAAAAAAAAATCTAGTTCTCAAGATGAGAAGGAGGGCTTTGAACAAGTGCTTTAGTTGGACGTTGTGCTGACCTAAACTTAGATTACAGGTTCCAAAACAGGTATTCTTAAAAGCCTTGTTCTGTCAACTAAAGGGTTCCATTACTTGCTTTCTCCTTTGTTCCCACCATACCTGAGCTGCAGTATTAATTGAGATTCCGTTTTGAGGCATAAATCTTTAAGTATCATCTAAATATTAAAGGAAAAAAAATCACTTCAGTACTATTTTCCTGATGTCTTCTAATTTTTAAAAAGTTGGCCATTTGCATTCATAGGAGTAAGCTAATGGTCTATAGCAAACTTTTTCTGTAAAGGGCCAGATAGTAAATATTTTATGCTTTGGAAGCCATATATTCTCTGCCAGAATTACTCAGCTCTGCTCTTGTAGTGAGAATGCAGCCATAGACAGCATTTAAAGCATTTAACAAATGGCCTGGCTATGTTAAAACTTTACTTACAAAAACAGATGAGGGCTGGATTTGGGCTCTGGGCCATAGTTTGCTAACACTTGATCTATAGCATCTGGACCCACAGATTGAAATTTGGTGGGATAATGGTCCACAGGCCACAGTATGAAACTAAGCGTATAAAGATTTGGTATGAAAGAATTCTGTTCTGGTTCACAAAGAAATTAGGCGCATACATTCCTGCCATTCAGAGAAGCCTGTGTGGCTGGGCTACTTGAAAAAAAGCCTCTAACCTGTCCTGCAGTCCTCTATTTCTTATGCTATGGGCTCCGGAAGGAAAGGCCTGACAGGGGAGTTGCTTAGGCATTTCAGAAAATCATTCTGGCACCCTCAGAACCTTCATGGGATTTTCTGCATCATGAGCCATGTCTGGTCCATATATTGGCATCTTAGTGCTCCCTGGGTTTTGCTTGTTAAGCTTTGGCATTTCTCAAGTAGAAGTAGAGACAGTAATCATTGAAAGCAAGAGTATGGCAGAGTCATTTTCATAGCCTGTCATGGTTTCTGCTGTAGAAGAAAAGTAGAACTTGTGCTGCTCTCAGGCAGAATAATCAACACCTGACTCACTGGAAGCATTGCTAATATGCCTCCTCCAGAGGAAAGCTGTGCTGCTCCCCTTGTTGTCAGCAGGGCAGTTGCATGAATTGGTGTTCCCTGAGCCCAGGTTTGAAATCCTCTTTGTGTCTCACCCATGAATTGATAGTGAGCAGGGCCTCGGCCTTCTACCTTCCCCCACCAAAGTGCTTGAGTTTTTCGGGGTTGGTGTTTTTTTTTAGTATCTGGAGTAGCTGAATTTTTCTTTTTAATTTTTATTGGAGTATAGCTGCTTTACAGTGTTGTGTTAGTTTCTGCTGTACAGCAAAGTGAATCAGTTACATGTGTACATATATCCCCTCTGTCTTAGTTTTCCTTCCCATTTAGGTCACCATAGAGCACTGCATAGAGTTCCCTATGCTATACAGTGGGTTCTCATTACTTACCTATTTTATACATAATATTGTATATATTTCACTCCCAATTCTTTCCATCTCCCACTCCCCCCACCTTGGTATCCATAAATTTGTTCTCTACGTCTGTGTCTCTCTTTTTCCTTTGCAAATAAGCCCATCTGTATGTACCATTTTTCTGGATCCACATATAAGTGATATTATATGACATTTATTTTTCTGTTTCTGACTGACTTCACCTGTATGACTGTCTCTAGGTCTGTCCACATCTCTGTAAATGGTACTGTTTCATTCCTTGTGAGTGAGTTTTCAAGTTTACTTCCCAAGTGAATGACTACTCTGCAATAGTGATTCAGACTCTTGTTGGCCTTGAGAGGAGAATAGGCATCTTGTACAAGGTACAGAAGTAGCATTAAAACAACTGCATTCTGTAAGCAAAAGGAGTAACAGGGGGTTATTGTGGGTATAACTGTGCTGACATCAAAGAGGTGGGATAGATTGCGTACTTCTGTTCTCAGCTTTCTCTTTGGAAATCTGCTTTCCTCATTCCTGTTGGATTTTACTGCAACAGCTGTCTCTAACTGTAACGAAAGTCTGGCCAGAGGACAGAGGAAATTTAAACTGAAGAGCAGTCCAAAGAACTGCTCAATGGTACCCTAGGTTTGGGGGTTTCCTGTGCCTTTATGCAGGGTACATGGGGTTTTTCCTTGATGTATGCTGTCTTGTGGTTTGGTCATTCACTAACATTGAACTTACTTGAGTGGACAGTGGTATAGTTTTAATCCATGTCTTATAGTGTGTAAATTTTAGTATTAAGATAGGTGGAAGCCACTTATTCTTCATCTACCCTTTTTTCAGTATCTGGCACCAATTCTGGCCCAGTCATTTGTGATCCATGGCTCTTGCGATATGCCGAAGATTTCCAGGCACTTTCTGTGGAACACCTTCCCAACCAGCTCTAATCAAGAATCATATAAACAAGAAATTGCTTGGTCAGACATGTGAGGACTGTGCTCTGACCACTAGAATGATCAGTACTGACACCAGAATGGCAGCCATTCTCCAGCTGTTAAAACCTATAAGATATTGGACATTTTGCAATCCTTTTATCTACAGTGCAACCCAAAGTGTGGCATGGAGGAATATGAGAAGCTACATGTGGCACAAAGGACAGAACTCTCCAGAAAACAGCCTCTGCTGTCCTGCCAGAAAAGTTAACATTTGTAGCACCTCTGCTGGTTGGAGGATTCTGACAACTGGCAATACCCTCCCAGGTTTGGGACTCAGTAGGGCTTCTGCCTCTAAGGCCAGCACGTTGAACCTGCACTCATCCAGGGCCATGAGAATTAATGAAGAGGATGTAGAAACTTTTGATTCCCTTGAAGACCCTCGAGTTTTCCTCCGGCTAAGACCAGAATATCAGCTTCACAGCTATAACAGACCTGTGACTTGTCAACCTCTGTCAATTTCAGAAGGTGAACTAATTTTGCACAAAGTCACCGTTTATCAAGATAATCTCCAGCCTCAAATTATTGTTGACTATTTCTGTAAGCTGAGTTCTTTGCCTGCAGAGCAACATCCCGTTTTGCTGTCCAGTACCAGCTTTGCTCTGCTCTGCCAGCTGAGTGTGAAAAACATACATCTCTTTGATGCCCCAGATCTGATCAGTATTTTGAAAGCTTTTGTCATTTTAGGAATTCCTCATTCCCATTCAATGCTAGATGTATTTGAAACAAACTTTTGCCATAAGGTATGGGAAATGAGTCTGGATCAACTTCTCTTGGTGGCTGACCTCTGGCGGTACTTGGGACGCAGAGTACCTCGGTTTTTAAAGATCTTTTTTAGTTATCTTAATTTGCATTGGAAAGATCTATCCCTGTCCCAGCTGATTCACTTAATTTATATTATAGGTGAAAGTCGTCAGGCACCCCAGGATCTAATGCAAAAACTGGAATCATTGATCCTCAAGTATATAGATTTGATCAATTTAGAAGAGGTTGGTTCAATCTGTTTGGGGTTTTTTAAATCAAGTAGTAGTCTCTCTGAATTTGTCATGAGGAAATTTGGAGACCTGGCTTGTGCTGACATGCAGCATCTGAGTAGTTATGCCTTAGTGAATATTCTTAAAATGTTCCGTTTCACTCATGTGGATCACGTAAATTTCATGAAGCAATTTGGACAGATTGCTCCTCAGCGAATTCCTTCCCTGGGAGTTCAGGGTGTCATGCACCTGACTCTTGCCTGCTCGGCGTTACGCTTCCTGGATGAAAGGGTAATGAATGCGGTGGCTGCTTCTTTGCCTCCTAGGGTAGCATACTGTCGAAGTAAAGATGTTGCCAAGATTCTGTGGTCATTTGGAACTCTGAATTATAAGCCACCCAATGCAGAAGAGTTTTATTCTAGCCTGATAAATGAGATTCACAGAAAGATGCTTGAGTTCAATCGATACCCAGAACACCTGCTCACGTGCTTGCTGGGCCTGGCATTTTCTGAGTACTTTCCAGTAGAGCTCATAGATTTTGCTTTGAGTCCAGGGTTTGTCAGGTTAGCTCAGGAGAGAAGTAAGTTTGAGGTCACCAAGGAGCTGTATACTCTTGATGGAACAGTTGGCATTGAATGTCCAGATTACAGAGGCAATCGTCTTAGCTCTCAGCTTCAGCAAGAGGGGTCAGAAATGGTATGGAATTTAGCAAAGAAGGATATGAGCTCAAAACCTGAATTCCTAGAAGCTCTCTTTTTACTTGAGACCATGTTGGGTGGGCCCCAGTATGTCAAACACCATATGATTTTGCCTCATACCCGATCTTCTGATTTAGAGGTTCAACTTGATGTTAACATGAAGCCATTACCATTTAACAGAGAAGCCATACCAATTGAAGATGTAGCCAAGTTAAGGTTTAAGCATGTGGGAGTCAACCTTACTGATGATTTGATGAATCAGCTACTAAAAGGGAAATCAAGAGGGCATTCCCAGGGGGAAATTGAGTCAGATAGTGGGCAGCAGCCCTTGAAATTAGAGGAGGAGACAGCTAAACCTGTGGGAGGCTCCCTTTGCAATAAGGTAGACAGATTGGGGGCCATGGAGATGGCTGGCCTATCCCCCCCGACCTGCTTGCAGGCCCCACAAGTGAAGCTGGCTATTCAGTTGACAAACAGGAACCAGTATTGCTATGGTTCCAGAGATCTGCTCGGACTGCATAATATGAAGAGGCGGCAGCTGAATCAACTTGGGTACCGTGTGGTGGAGTTATCTCACTGGGAATGGCTCCCACTACTGAAACGAACTCGCTTAGAAAAACTGGCTTTTCTCCATGAGAAGGTGTTCACCTCTGCTCTCTGAAGGGCCTTCAGGGTCATTTCTACTCATAAATGCTGTAGCTATGCACTGTAGCAGGTGTTGTAAAACAGTTACAAAAGCCAGAATGTAGATTTGGTAATAAAATCATCTGTTGAGATTAAGTTGTACCCTGTCTGTGGCAGGTAGAAGCTAGTATACCTTACTGTGAATTAATTATAACTTGGTCCAGTTGTATAAGTTGCTGCTAATTTGTACAGGTAAATAATAAACATCTTAAAATATGGTCAAGAAACTCCTTATCTTCCTTTCTGTTTATTAGCCTCATCTCATGATTGCTTTGAATTTTTAGGATAAAAGTATAGTCAGGCATTGTCGAAAGCTAATCTTTAAAAAATGGTTTTGTCCATAATAAAAGCTATATATGACAAGCCCACAGCAAGCATCACCCTCAATGGTGAAAAATTGAAAGCATTTCCCCTGAAATCAGGAACAAGACAAGGGTGCCCACTCTCACCACTACTATTCAACATAGTTTTGGAAGTGTTGGCCACAGCAATCAGGGCAGAAAAAGAAGTAAAAGGAATCCAGATAGGAAAAGAAGAAGTGAAACTCTCTCTGTTTGCAGATGACATGATCCTCTACATAGAAAACCCTAAAGACTCTACCAGAAAATTACTAGAGCTAATCAACGAATACAGTAAAGTTGCAGGATATAAAGTTAACACACAGAAATCTCTTGCATTCCTATACACTAACAATGAGAAAACAGAGAAATTAAGGAAACAATACCATTCACCATTGCAACAAAAAGAATAAAATACTTAGGAGTATATCTACCTAAAGAAACAAAAGACCTATACATAGAAAACTATAAAACACTGATGAAAGAAATCAAAGAGGACACAAACAGATGGAGAAATATACCGTGTTCATGGATTGGAAGAATCAATATTGTCAAAATGGCTATACTACCCAAAGCAATCTATAGATTCAATGCAATTCCTATCAAACTACCAACGGTATTTTTCACAGAACTAGAACGAATAATTTCACAATTTGTATGGAAATACAAAAAACCTCGAATAGCCAAAGTAATCCTGAGAAAGAAGAATGGAACTGGAGTAATCAACCTGCCTGACTTCAGACTATACTACAAAGCCACAGTCATCAAGACAGTATGGTACTGGCACAAAGACAGAAATATAGATCAATGGAACAGAATAGAAAGCCCAGAGATAAATCCACAAACCTATGGTCACCTTATCTTCAACAAAGGAGGCAAGGATATACAATGGAAAAAAGACAACCTCTTTAACAAGTGGTGCTGGGAAAACTGGTCAACCACCTGTAAAAGAATGAAACTAGAACACTTTCTAACACCATACACAAAAATAAACTCAAAATGGATTAAAGATCTAAATGTAAGACCAGAAACTATAAAACTCCTAGAGGAGAACATAGGCAAAACACTCTCCGACATAAATCACAGCAGGATCCTCTATGACCCACATCCCAGAATTTTAGAAATAAAAGCAAAAATAAACAAATGGGACCTAATGAAACTTAAAAGCTTTTGCACAACAAAGGAAACTATAAGCAAGGTGAAAAGACAGCCCTCAGATTAGGAGAAAATAATAGCAAACGAAGCAACAGACAAAGGATTAATCTCAAAAATATACAAGCAACTCCTCCAGCTCAACTCCAGAAAAATAAATGACCCAATCAAAAAATGGGCCAAAGAACTGAGCAGACATTTCTCCAAGGAAGACATACACATGGCTAACAAACACATGAAAAGATGCTCAACATCACTCATTATCAGAGAAATGCAAATCAAAACCACAATGAGGTACCATTACACACCAGTCAGGATGGCTGCTATCCAAAAGTCTACAAGCAATAAATGCTGGAGAGGGTGTGGAGAAAAGGGAACCCTCTTACACTGTTGGTGGGAATGCAAATTAGTACAGCCACTATGGAAAACAGTGTGGAGATTTCTTAAAAAGCTGGAAATAGAACTGCCATATGACCCAGCAATCCCACTTCTGGGCATACACACCAAGGAAACCAGATCTGAAAGAGACACGTGCACCCCAGTGTTCATCGCAGCACTGTTTATAATAGCCAGGACATGGAAGCAACCTAGATGCCCATCAGCAGACGAATGGATGAGGAAGCTGTGGTACACATACACCATGGAATATTACTCAGCCATTAAAAAGAATTCATTTGAATCAGTTCTAATGAGATGGATGAAACTGGAGCCCATTATACAGAGCGAAGTAAGCCAGAAAGATAAAGACCATTACAGTATACTAACACATATATATGGAATTTAGAAAGATGGTAACGATAACCCTATATGCCAAACAGAAAAAGAGACTCCGATGTATAGAACAGACTTGTGGACTCTGGGAGAAGGCGAGGGTGGGATGTTTCAAGAGAACAGCATCGAAACATGTATATTATATAGGGTGAAACAGATCACCAGCCCAGGTTGGGTGCATGAGACAAGTGCTCGGGCCTGGTGCACTGGGAAGACCCAGAGGGATCGGGTGGAGAGGGAGGTGGGAGGGGGGACCGGGATGGGGAATACATGTAAATCCATGGCTAATTCATTTCAATGTATGACAAAAACCACTGCAATGATGTAAAGTAATTAGCCTCCAACTAATAAAAATAAATGAAAAAATAGGGTAAAAAAAAATGGTTTTGTCATATTTTGTTTTAAAGTAAGAACTGAACTGAAGAATCTTATACAGCTTATCTTGTACTTTATATTTTTCCCCCCACACGTGTTTTCTTCATACCCCCTAGAATTAAAGTCCTTTTCATTTTCCTTTAGATTTGGTTGATTCCTGTTTTAAAGAGCCATTTCAGAATTAGCTTCATATCTTCCCCTTAGCTTCCTCTTCTGCATTTCTACTTCTCTTGCATAATTCTCCCTAACCCCTCTCACAGGGATATTTTCTTCCTAAAATTGGACCTAGGAGAGTAGAATTATATGAGTGCCTGTTGGGCCAGTGGTTCCCAAATCTGATGACTAGGTAGAAGAATGTTTTTCATGGCAAGCAGCTCCAAATAGAAGGAAATGTATTACTCCCATAATAGGAAGTCTAGGGAGATTCAGGTTTGTATTAGAGCTACAGACATAAGAAGAATGTATATATGTGAGAAACTTAATACAAATAACTTTTATAAACTCTTGAGGTCTGTGAAAAACTTTTAAAATGGACTCCTCCCACTGTTATTTAGATTTCCCCTCAAAGGTCACTTCCCCATCCATGCTAACTAAAACTACCGCATTGGCCTTTGATCATGCTGTGTCATCTTCAGGTTTGTTTTCCCCATAGCATTCAGCATTAACAAATTATTCTTTATTTATTTGTTAATTTCCCTGTTGGAAAGTAGGCCCTTGAGTTAACTTTGTCTAGAATTTATCTCCAGTGCCTAGGACAGTGGGTCCTGGTACATAATAATGTTCAGTGAGTGATCAGGGAATTAAGAGTGGTTGGGCATTGCTGGAGAGTTGGGTGTAGAAGGAAGGGAGAGGGTGGGGCTAGAGAGGGAGAGAGAATATCTGGGTAGCAAAAGCCTTATGACCTTGCTAAAGAGCCTAGGTTTGCAGGGGCTAGAGTGCCTCTGAATGATCCTCAGGGAGTATTTGGGACAGGTTCATGTTTTAGAAATGATAGGGGAAAATCAGGACAGAACTAGATTGAGGGGTGGGAATGTGTGAGATAAGGAGAATATTTCACAAATTTGTGCAAGAGCTCATATGAGAGATGATGAAGGCCAAAATTACGTGAATGGAAAGTTTAAATTTCAAAGACATTTGGGAGGGGGAAAAGACCACAACTTGCTAATTAATTGGTTTGGGGAATGAGAATGAGGATTTTAGTGCCTAGACTGACTGACAGTCGTCGACTAAAATTGAGACGAAAGCAGGACACATATTTGGGTAAAGAGTTAATGCTGAGACTGCCCTGGTCATGCTGAGGTGAGCCTCTGGGCAGAAGGGTTTAGCCTGGAGTCTCAACTGGGCATGCAGTCACATGGCAAGAACCATGAGTAAAATTGCCTAGGACAGGTGAAAAGTAGGTTATTGCAGGTAGGGAGGGAAAAGATGACCAAGAGTAGAATACCAGGACTTAAAGGAAGGTCAAAGCAGAGAGATCCAGTGATAAAGACAAGATAATCAGTCTTAGGAAAAAACGGGTATAGAAGTACGTCTGGTCTCTCCAAGACCAGTCACTAGAGGGATTCACAGAACTAAGGAAAACTTACAATTTATTATAGTGAAAGGATGCAGACTAAAAACGGTAAAAGAAAAAGGCACATAGTACAGTATCTAGGAGAGACAAGTCACAAGCTTTCAGTTGCCGTTTTCCTTTAGAGACATACAGACAGCTGTTAACTAATCCCAGCAATGATGTTTGCCAACACGTACAGATATTGCCAGTCAGGGAAGCTCACCTGGGTCTTGGTGTGCAGGTCAGTCATGTAGACATGAAGTCAGCGCCCACACAGTTTACCTTAGGTACTCAGTCCCCGGCCCCTTAAGACATTCAGCTTATTACAGCAAAAGGCTTCACCATAAATTACATTGTTAGTGTAAACTATCTGGTGTTTACCTTGGGTGTGACCCAAGGTCTTAAGTGAAAGTGAAGTCGCTCAGTTGCATCAGACTCTGCGACCCCATGGATTGTAGCCTACCAGGATCCTCCGTCCATGGGATTTTCCAGGCAAGAGTACTGGAAAGAGTATCCCAAAGGCTTAGAGATTATCTCTCAGGACATTTCTTTGCAATGTGAAAGACTCGAATACTCCAAACCTACTGAGTTACCCTTTAACTGCACAGAAACCAAGGGTAGAGCATACTTCAGAAAGGAAAGGGTATGTATCCTGTTTTCCTCAGAAGAGAAAATTAAGGCAAGAACTAGAAAATCTTCAGTCAGTTTAGCAAACTGGATATCAGTGATGACCTTAACTATAGCAATTTGTTTTTATTTATTTATTTTGACTGGGCTAGGTCTTTGTTG